GGGACGGCTAGCATAGATAGCCCTCGTGAGGCTTTGCGCGATATTAAAAACAAAACAAAAAAAAACGAAGCAACATTTTTGATACTGACTTAGATAAATAGCGTTTTTAGTGATGCAAGTTAAAGATTGTGTATTATTTTTGGTTCTCTTTATCAGAAAACCGATTTGCAACTTCCATAAACTTGCACGTTTGGAAACACTTGCAATTTTAGGTTTTTTCTTTTTTTAAAGAAACAGCAAGAACGCCGGAAACACTTTATTTTAAGTTGATCATTAAGCTGGAGGAGGTCAAAGGATTTCTTCAGGATACAATGTAGGTTTTTCAACTTTGGATGATAGGCGATGACCAGTGGAACACTGGCGTTTGTATTCGTTGGGTTGTTTCAAGGTACTGTTGCTTAAGATTGTTTTGCCAATTTGTTTGATCACCTGTCAAATATTGTTGTGATTATAACTTATAATTCCCCTTTTTTTAATGAATCAATGTGACTTTCATAATTCTTATAGGGCTTGACTGAATGTAATATTACTTTTAATATGTGGTAGATGTCAACTTTTATAGTGCAGGTCTGTTTTCGGTTCAGATCAGGCTGTGGAAAACCATATTTAAGTGTAAGGATTACATCTGAAAAGTAATCTGAGTAAGAGAGTACCCAAAGTGAATTTAACATCACAATGAAAGAAGTTTGTATGTCTATAAAAGGATAATAAGGAATCTTCGTTTTCTACCCAAAAGAAAAAAAGTCATCATTCCAGATTCTAAGTCTCCCATAAAAATATTGGTGCTGTTTGTCTGCACGAAGAGACCATTATAAATTCAAAATCATTAAAATTATGAACGAATATACAATAACCCGTGTGTTTGTTTCTTTCGAATTTCGCGCAAAGCTACACGAGGGCTATCTGCGCTAGCCGTCCCTAATTTAGCAGTGTAAGACTAGAGGGAAGGCAGCTACTCATCACCGCCAACTCTTGAGCTACTGTTTTACCAACGAATAGTGGGATTGACCGCACATAATAACGCCCCCACGGCTGAAAAGGCTAGCATGTTTGGTGGGACAGGGATTCGAACCAGCAGATTGAGAGTCGAGCTCCCTAACCACCTGTGTGTTGGCTTTGTCAAATGCCAATATAGCAAGTTCAAAAGCTTTCAGGCCTTCATTGCATGTACAAAGAAAAGTGTTTTAACGGAACGGGTTTTTACTGTTAATACCATAAACAAAGTTGAAAAAAATGTCGTGTTTTTAATGTAAAGTGATACACATGGAGAGATGTATTTGATTTGGTGGTCGACATGGGCAGGTAAGGTTTCAGTAGGCAGGCCAGTGTTAGACATAATAGGACGACCAGGATTGTACCTTTGGTAACATAAAAGCAGCCTGGAGAGTTTATTTAAACTTTAGATTATAACTAATTTAGATTAGTTGTTTTTTCTTTAATTTGTTTTTATACTTCCTAAGTAATTTTGATGAACTGGGGGTTGGTTGGAGCTACTTTTTTTTTGTAATAGTAGGGTCCATTAAGCTGTGGTTAAGCTTCGTTAATATTGTGAGTATTGTTAAGGGTGATAATGGTGCCACCTGGTTTAGTAACAATGCCATGTTTTAGTGAAGTCAGGTTTCTTGTAGAAGAGATTATAAAGTACCTTGGAATCAGAGTTAATGGTTTGTATCATTTGATTATAAGTAGTAATAATAAAGCTTTCTAAATGTGGTTCTCTGTTGATTGAGTGACTAAGTAGTTTTCTCTTTGAATTGTGAGCCGTGGTAGTACTTCCAGACTTGTTGTGAAAACTATTTTGAGGCCTTAGTCCGAAAACAAATTTTGTAAGTCGGAAATAATATCAAACTATCTATATGTTATGGATAGGAGACATTACGATCTTTACTAAGAAGGTTAATCTCAGTTTCAGATCATGTTTAGGAGAGGTTGACGATATTGGAAACATGAGAAAGAGATGAATTGGGTGGTTCAGAAACAGAATACTTGTCAAAAGTTCGCTTAACTTCCTATTCATTGTGAGAGGTTGCACTCATAACATGGTTGTGTCTATGAGTATCTCTACTTTGTGAACAAGTGTCGAAGTTCCGGCTAAAAAGGTATTTTTCATTTTCATGCTTGCGGTGTTTTTGTTTTTTCTTGATTTTTCAAGAGTAATCTTAGTCTGTGTTCATAATCTGTAACACCAATGTTCTGTTAAAATCAGTTATTTCTCTGAAAACTCATGTGAGAGTTTCATAAGTTTAATTCAGGTACAGTGGAGAATGTGCAATAAAAGATAAAATAATTGCTGCAATAGCAAGTGTCCCCACATCTACAAGTTTATCCAGCATAGAGATTAGTTCCCTGATAAAGACAATCAACAACAATATAAAATCACAATGTAATTTCCAATACGTGGGACAAACCAGAATAACTGTAATACAACATTTTAACACCACGAATAGAGAACTTTCCGTGGCTAGACAATTAAACATGCCTCACCACATTAAACTCTTATGCATAGACACTGGTTTCACACAAAAAAGGGACAGAGAAATTAAAGAAGCTTTCTGGGCAGGAACTTTAATGAGCATCAATCTATATTCTGGGATTGTTGACCTTGGCAACTATAATCCAATTACTTAATCTATTTCAAACATACAAGTTGTTATTAATGAAACTGATGATATCGTCTTGATAACTGTTATTCATGCGGTATCCCACCTAGCCTGGTGAGTCCTGGTATTGGGCAGAAGGTCTCTTCAGCACTGGATATGGCAGCTGTTGATATATTCAGGGGTTAAGAGTTCCACTTCTTGAGGATTCAATCCGTTAGCTTTTGAATGTCAAATTAGATCACAAAAGGGTTTGTTTGTTGAATTTCTCATAAAGCTACCCGAGCTGCTGTCTGCCCCTAACTTGGTAGTGATAGACAAGGGGGGAATGCAGCTAGTCAATACCACCCACTGCCAACTCTTTTACCAAATAAAATTGAGTTTTATCATCACATTCATCCATTTTTCCTTAGTCAATATAATAATTATATCTCAATTTATTTGAGCACTTTTGGATAAGTAACATTCCATTTGCCATAATAACTTCTGAAGAAATCTGCAAACTACTTCAAATACAGCCCAAGCAAAAATATAGTAACAAATCACAGCAACTCACTTCGAAAGTAGATTTAAGTCCTTACTGTATTTAGCTTTGTTTTTTTTTTTCTGACGATTTTGGAGACTATTCAGTAGCATCGTAAATAATCAGATATTTAAAACATTAAAATGTTACACTGATTTTGAGATCTGTATCTACACTATGTGCACCAGAAAAATTAAACATTCTTCATAGAGTTATTTCAAGTATCTGTGAATGATAAAACTGTCCAATATGTGTGGCACTAACATCTGGATAAGGTTAAGGTTTCATTTAGGATATTAAGGTTGTGAATTTTAATCATTTAATATAAGAAGAAAGTTTCATGCTGAAGTTATCACGCTAGACACCAAAAACTTCCACAATAGTTTGAAAAATTCTATTTATCACAGGATAGATTTAAAGCTGACATAAAAAGTAACACAAGAATTAACAGAGATCCACTTTTATTTTTGCTTCATGAAGTACAAGAAAAAATCAGGTTATAGAAAATATACACAAAAACAGCAAAGTGTCACAAATATGTGGAGGAAATTGGTGCACACCTGATGGATGGATTCTTCATATAACCACAATACCATCAGTCTTCCAACAATATACATATGTGAATAAAAACTGCTGACAACTTTTGCAATTCAAAACCTGGATAAATTAAATTCTAGCCAACATAAAAATAAAGTACAAAAATGTAACCTGGAAATGGAGAAAGCTTCACAACGATATTTCAGTAAATGCATTTCATTCTTAAGACATTCTTTAATATACGAGAGCCTATTTCATAAAACAATTATTACATAATGGCAAAGTCTCATCCTGGCCCCAGGAAAGAGAGCAACTAAGCTAACAGAGTCCAGTTTGCTGGAGGTCTTATTGTTGTTTACATTCAGGTGGTGGTTGTTTTTTAGCTGTTTTGTCACTCTGAAACATATATAAACATGTGGCATTGACATAGTAAATACATCTTTATGAAGATCCATACGAAAAAAGAACTCAACAGAAAAGTAATCAAATGGATAAAAACATACAACTAAATCATTGTGTAGTTACAAGTAATAAAAGTTAAGTTTTTACAATATCCAAGTCAATATTGCTAACAGGAATTTGTTGCTGCAGTTATATTTGGCTACTTATTTGAAAACAACCAATTTGCTCATGTTTTAGCCCCTTCAAAACTATGTGATTCTGGTATACATAACTGCTAATTTTGCTTACAGCAGCAGATGTTATACTTAATTAAAACCTTTAAAATACAACTATAATCTTCAAAAGTGGAAAAGAGGTCAGCAAGTGCATGCAAATATACTAGTTCAGTGACTTCAAACTTTTTCCCAACCGACAACCAGTTAGTTCCAATCACAAAGTTTCACGGACAGATTTGTACAACATTAACTTTATAAAGTACTTTTATACAACACAGTAAAACACTATGTTTCAACAGCTATATTTTATAACACATTTTGTTTTCAATCTTTTTACAGATGAAATCTCTTTGTGAACCAGCATCCACTATACTAGTTCATGGAAATAGGCAGAAATATGTTTTGCTGTTGTTACAACTTGCTTTTAAACTTCTATTAAAATTTACCTTTATGTTGGGTAATCTTATTCCACTCATTACTTACCCACAAATGCTTAAGATAACATGTTTACAGTAAACAGATACCCAAGAAACTATATTTAATCATTGTCTTAGAAACACAATATATATAGAAAAAGGTTTGGTTTGTTTTGAATTTTGCTCAAAGCTACACGAGGGCTATTTGTGCTAGCCATCCCTAATTTAGCAGTGTAAGGCAGCTAGTCATCACTACCCACTGCCAATTCTTAAGCTACCATTTTACCAATGAATAGTGGAATTAACCATCACATTATAATACCCCCACAGCTATAAGGGCAAGCATGTTTGGTGGGACAGGGATTCGAAACCCACGACCCTCAGACTGCGAGTCAAGCAACCTAACTACCTGGCCCACGTAGCAAAAGGAAATGACTGACAAATGCCGTTGGGAAAACCTCAACTATAAAAGGTACCAAAAAGTGCACACATGTACAGATACTATTTATTCAAACTTTATATCTTAATAGTTCATCATCTGTATTAAAAATTGTGGCTTTTATGATGAAGGTATAAATTTGTTACATGTACATTTCATGTCATGATTTACTATATAAGAACATGGGGCGAGGTGGAAATTAGAATGGAACAAAACATAAATTTGAATTAAAATATAAGACTCATCTAAGTATAAAACAAATTTGATTTTTCTTAATACTATGATACAAGTATAGAATTTGTCTTTTACACAAATGGCTTGAATATTACATTTAACACGTCATCACTGATATCAGAATGAGCTAACAAGTTTTATTTCTATTAAGAATATGGTATTTTAAAGTTTATTTTCCATTATATATTGGGTGAACTATTAGAAATTTCAATTTCATGTTATAATAAAATTAACAAGTTTGTTTTAAAATTTTTCAGCACAGCTTCACTAGGGTTACCTACATATAATCATTCTAGCTTTGAACGTTTTTAAACAGTTCTTCACAAACGACTGGCTCTTGAGCCCATAGTTTTGATTTACTATCTTTTTTTGTATGCATATTTTTGAAGTTTCTCCTAAATGTGATCCTTTTCTTCTGCACTTTAAAAATGTATCTCTTTGAAATTAATTTCTTTCACTTCTATGAATGCCATGATGATAAGCATGACGTCTACCAAGACAACACTGACTTTATAAGCCTCTTTTGGACCTGATGAAAACGTTTTCTCTCATAAATTTAAGTACACTATGTACGATTTTTACCATTGATTGTTGTCACTTTGACAAGCAAGTTAATAGCATTTATATTTTTTAAAATCAGCATTATTCTCAGCACAATTTCTGCTAGCTATGATTTCAGAATTTTTAATAGTAAACTTTCTTATGCACCTTACCCACAATATGATTCATCACAACAATAAGCTGATGACACTTTTCAATTCTTTAGCTATACCCACAACTTTTGTGCTTCATGCAACTGTTATTCTCTAATACACATTTTTTCATTCTTGAAAATATGCATCGTATACATTTTCTGCAAACTTAAGAGTGATTTATTATAACATTTGATGTCCAAAGTACATAGAACCGAATGAAAAAAAGAATCAGAAAAGACACAATACCCCCAAGAGCTTTCCTAAAAAGTGGACTTTCCTTCATTAAGGGTAAATGACCATTCTAAGCAAGCTAATTAGTTATGAAGTTATTGCACCAGAAATAAGACTGTCATGTGTTTCTAAAAATATGACCAAAACTGTGAAATAAGATTGCATGTGTAGGTATGAGAAAGAGGAGTTTAGAAATAAAACTGGCTTACAAGAATATGTAGTTGTGCAAGAAGTAATGTCCAGAACAATTGAGAGATTTCTTGACAAAAGCACTTAATAATATAGGAACTTCCAGTTTTAATAATGTTTTAAAGTATTAATAATGAATTTAAGAAAAAAAAACATATACATAAATTAAATAAATAAAAAAAATTACACCTAGTATCTCTCTTGCTACAGGGTCGGTCAAATCAGGCGAGTTCATGACTACAAATTGATCTTTATAGTTTCCATACTACAACTTCTAATATGTTTTGTTTATCTTCATGAAATTTAGCAAGCTTTCAGTAATCATTAAGCCATTTGTAGACAAAAAGTCAGAATTTTTAATGAAGCATTTTCACTAACAATTTTTCCATGAATATATATGAAGTCAAAGAGTTGACTGCTCTGAGTGCAAAATGATTTTTTATGTTAAGATAAAAATATTTTTTACATGAAAAATTTCAAATTTCATTTGCTTAAACCTCTAAACTTCTTCAATAAATTTCATTTTTTTCAGTAAAACAATATTTTATCAGTTATTTTCTCTACCATAATTCTATATGTGGTTGGTCAATTTGACCTATCTAGTAACTGCTACAAAAAGAAATAAATTTAAATTCCACTTTTTTTCTTTCTAGAATGACTTTAAATTATAACATGAAACCACATTTGTATATCCCAAATAGCTTTAAAATTGCAACAGTATACACCTGTTCATACTTAAATTTTATTGTTTTATTGTCCTTTGCACCATATCTAACTAATATTCATGCCATATAATTTGTAACTCACTTGGCAAACATGTAGCTCATATTACCCTATCTAATTACATAATGATGAGTTACTTGCAAGCATACCCCATGAAAAATTTTGAATTTACTTGATCTAACCTAAAAAGTATCTAATTTTTACATTTTAGTTACTTTTATAATAAATAAAACATACACAAAAAAAAACAAGAAATAAAGTACTTACCTGGACTTTTTTTTTGCTGTCAAAGACACTTAACTACTTTTTTTATACTAATGATAGTAGTGCACTAAATAATGTTTTATTAATTAAATAATGTACCAAAGAACATAGAATAATAACATGCAAAAAGCAGACAATGTCCCATAACTATCACAATTTTTCTGGCTTTCTAACTATGCGACAAGAGCCATTACAAATTCATCCAAAACTAGTCAATATATTTCCCATGGGAACAAAGCTTGTACTGGAAGAGAAATTGACAATACTCTGTATAGAAAACAATGTAATATAATATGTCATTTTATAGATGAAAACTTCGGCTTTCTATTGGTTATAAATAATATAGTATTAAATGTAAGAGAGAACAAATAACAAATTTTGAAAGAGGGGATGTGACAGGTGGGTGTGGGAGGGTCAGTTTTTCAATTTGATGGCTCTGTTACCAAACAAGATTGAATGCTATAAAAATTATGTTTTGCCTGAGTGATGACGATATTTAGTGAGTAATTTATGTTAAATTTCATACTTACTGGAGGGGTGGTGAATGAATTAGAGAAGAGGGGATGCCCAGAGAAACACTAGGGAAAATTCAGGATTTTTTTAATCATTGCCTTATAAAATTAAGAACTTAAAACTTAAATACTATTAACATATGGATTACTAGCTATGATTTTATGATATACTAATTGGTTATAACATAAATAAAAAGTAGCTTAATTAAATTTTGAATGCAACTCACTAAAAACCTTGCGACATGCTCAGTAAAGGATGCATGTGGTGATGGGTTAAAAAGGGCACTTGTTTCTGACTAGAAAAAGAAAACTTGTCAACTTTCTGAGGACTTCATAAGGAAGATAATATGAAGATGAAGCACTATATTTCCTTGCTTTGGATGGTTAGTGGTGTCAATTCAGATGAACAATTCATTCATCAAACAAACAAACCATGTCACAAAACGTTTTCTACTAATGGGCTTCAAAAAGCAAATTGAAGATTTGATTACATTCACACAGTTTATAACATGACACCTTTTACACTGCAAATGTTTATGAAAATTGTCAAAATGTTTTACTAAAATAGAAAAGTTAAAACAAAACATTGATAATGCATTAGCAGTTTTTGTACATATATTAAAGCAGGTAAACACTTCTAGAAAAATCAACATTAACACAAATAAAGTATTGCAAAAAAGTAATCACTGCATGCTTTTCTCTGTTTAATTGACACCCACCTACCCACCACATATCCAAACACTCCACTTATAATGAACTCATCTAATATGAACAGAAACTTTGTAATTGCACACCTACAGATTTTGACTTCTTGCTACAGCAAGCCCCTTTTCTATCTCTAACCCCAACTGCATGCCATTACCTAATAAATCATTTAGGATAATTTACACCACTGGCTTTAAAATGACCTACAATATTTTACTGACTTCTCTGTCAGTAATAGCATGGTAACTTTCATGTTCTGATTAATGGATGTTGGTCAACTACAATCCAGAGCATCCCAATGGTGGGTTGCTGGGTGCCATAGCTCTAATTCCCAACCAATATGAGTATGGATTAGTCATTTGGTCAGGAGGGTTCTGTTCATGCACTACCACAATCTACAGCTACAGATCACTAATACAAGTATCTAAGTCTTCAACTTAAATCCTAAAACTAATATATCATTTATAAACAATTTAGTAAAAAACACAAATGATTTGTGATGAAATGAATAAAAAATATGGCAACAGTTTCTATAAATCAGCACTTCTTACCTGGGGATTATAATCAGGATCATTATCTTCATCTTCGTCATCATCTTTTTCTTCATCCTCAGCTTCCTCCTCTTCACCTTCCTCTTCTTCATCAAACTACAATACAAAACACATGTTAAAGTAACCAGCTGTCATTATACATATATTAATTATTACAATGAAATGAAATTCTGTAATTAAGCTGTATAAGACAAACTTATGCTAATATTAGTTTATAAAAACATACATAACAAGTAACAGCTTGAGGGAGTTAGTAAACTACCAAGATAAGGGTATTTGAATGTCGACTAAGACTAATCAAAATAAACTATGTCAAATCTACTATTTATTCTTACAAGCACAAAAATTGTTTGATTACTGAATCCCATTAACTTAGTTACACACTTAATGGCAGATGCCTTTTTAATCAAGACACAATTATATGCATAAGCTTTTTTTCTTAAACACACACACACATTCCATTTTATGAATATATGAAAAAAAGAAAGAAAAACATCTTCAAAACAAGTTATTAATCTCAAACTACTTACATCCCCATCTTGTAAGGCCTCTCCAGTGAAATACAAAACAGCTTTTGGAACAATTCTCTCTCTAATAAAATGACCCATTTCAAAATCTGCTGCCAAGAGAACTTGAGTGTCTTCATCCTTTAGATAAAAGTGGAATATCTTATAAGTCTGCATAGAGACAAAACTAAGTTCTGTAATACTTTCTCTACAAAGATATCTAATAATAAAGTTAACAAGTTCTAAGCAATTCTCTAGGATAAGGGGTAGAAATTTATCAATCTGACAGTAGCAACTTTAACATAGAAAGAACAAAGGATGAGAGATAATAAAGAGAGAGAGATAGAGATACAAAATAAAAAGGAAGAGAGAAAGAGAATCTCTTTATTGTCTATAACAGTGTTCCCAAAATATGATCTGTGGAAAACTGGTGTTCCATCCAAGACTGATAGCTGGTCTGTGAGAAAATTACAATTTTAAATTTTAATAAAATACTTAACACTTTTTGTATGATCAATACTTATTATGAAATATTTTCCCATGTATTAGAATTTGATAATATCAATTTCACATTCAGGAAGAATTATAGAAGATGCCATATCTATTCTAAATATCTTAGTGGAGAGGTTTGTACCTAAAATATAAAAATTCATTAATATGTAATTTGATTAAATAAACAAATGAATAATATACAAATCTAGAGGGCGCTGCGTGCACAACATACCCTCTACCCCTATATTTCACATGTGTACAGTTCCATAAGCTATTCCTCAGCTGAAAAGTGTTCTATGGTCAAAAAAGTTTGTGAAACTCTGGTCTATAACATCAAGAATTCTAATAAAAAATGGTTATACCTGTAGTAAAATGAATGACTTTAAAGATATTTTCCTTATGCAAAGAAAATATAGAATCCATGGATAATAATAACTGTAAAATCACACATTACCTTAGTCTTCAGTTCTTAGGAAGAATTACTTAGAAAATAGATTGTCATACTAGTCTTAATGGTAAGTTTCTCTAAATGAAGTTTAACCCAAATGTTATGTATAATAAACACCTGAGAGAAACTACAACTGATGTTTAATTTTTGAAAGAATGATTTATAAAGCCAGACAAATTTACACAAAATGAACAGTTAGTTGCCATAATCAGAATGTAAAATATTGACTCATTGTCAGATGGTAACTGTTTTATTAATCAAAGTTACCAAGAAGTTATGGCTCTGATAAGTAAAAGTTTTTAAAGGTCTCGACTAATGAAATAACCAATACATTTTAATAAATGTCTACATAAGATTGCTCAGACTAATAATTATTTAAAGCTTGAGAATGAGAAAATCCTTTGACAATAGAAATAAAAACCTTATAAAATCAAATTTAGACAAAATATATATGAAGATAGGACTCCTATTCATGATGTCTAAAAGCATGCAAGTTAAGCTGACTGACATTCATATAAATGGAATACTTCAGTTATAAGTCAATTACTGTATGAAGCTAGATTTTTAAAGAAAAGCACTTTTGAGTGTTTTAAGTAATTCTTTCCTAAGTTTTGACCATGCATAATAAATGCTAAACATTTTTGGGCTTGTATAATTGTTATTGAGTTTATTTACAACAGTCTACAAAAAAGTTTGTAAACTACTTAAAATAATGGAATAAAATTACACATACCAACTGTTCTTCATCCGATGGTACTGAAAAAAAAAAGAAGAAAATACATGACATGATCTATAATTAGTTATATTTAAGTTAAATACCACCCTTAAGAACCTTACAAACTTTATAAATTTAAGAAACACTGGTCAAAGTATCAATTGTTTTTAGCTAAACTACTGCTTAACATTCTTTGTAAAGCTACATAAAAATAGTCAAATAAAACCAGATCTATATAATTCCACAGCATACAATAACTTCTACAATATAATATAGTATGCTGATTAATAGTGGTTTTATTATTATTATTTTATCACACTACTGATGATCAGTAATCATGATAATAATGTTAACACATTTCCACATTAATTTCAAAATCATTTAAACTGAATGTGCATTTAATTTGGTACATTGGACTGACCCAGTACTGGAGAAGTAACATTGACTATAATTTCAAATTTACAAAGAGTGTATTCATAAAATGTGGCAAACTTTCACCCAACATGTGAAGTCTGCTGTAATAAAAAACATCAGATATGGTACTAAAGATATGGCTGTGAAACTCTGAACTCATTCTGACTCAGACTCTTGACAAGTTGGAGTGCAAGGTGATGTTCATTTAAGAAAAAAAAAAACATACTTTTTTCCATTATACAGATTGAAGATTGCATTTGCATTACCTCTGAAACCTCCTAAAAGCATATCAAGTGTTTTTAGTGTTCCTCTATATCAGGTATTTTCTCTACTCTAACAAACTGTTGCAAAAATAGGAATGTCGGGTAGCATGAAATGTTAATAACTATGACATCAAATGCACAATACAATGTTGAATGTCACTTTGTACAAGGTCTGGGCATTCTCACTTTATGTATAGAAAACTACAGATTATTAAGTTTCACAAAATCAAAACTTTAGCTGGCTATAAAAAATGCACAAACCTGTAGGAGGGCTGAAGAAGTTAAAGAAGGAATCATTCTGAACTGTTTTTGTGACTGTTCTAACTGAGCCCCTGGACTTGTGTTTCTGTTTTTTCTTGATGGTCTTCATTGTTACATTCTTTCCTTTTTTCCAATCAATGGTACACCTGGGATAAGTAACAACAACACCAACAAAAATTTACTTTTTTCACCCTGCTTATCAGCAAAATTATGGTTTATGTCTGCCTAACAAAACTTTTCATTACGCAAAAAAAAAGAAGAAACCAACTTCATAACCAGGATACTGAAATTCTCAGCAGTGAAATGGTTTGTATTTAATTTTATGAGTTACTGACATTTTCCAAAAAATCTGGTAAAGCAGAATGATACTAAAGTTGCCCGAGTCAAGGCCCATGACTGTTAAAAGAAACCGATAGATGATTAAATTTGTTTAATTAAAAATATGAAAAAATGTTGCTATATAGTGTATACAAATATCAAAACAAAGTTTGTCTGTACATGAACAATTAGAAAATGTTTCACAGAAAACATAACAGGATAAATAAACAGCACCACTTCTTCAAAACAATTGAAAACATCAGTTTTCAATGGATAATAAAAATAGATGGTCGAGTTTCTTAAAAACAACACATAAAATCTAAATATTTCATCACAAAAGTAGTGAGCTTTATTATAACTATGAGTTTGTTGTTTGTATAATGTACAACTGTATTTATATGTTAGTTTTCTGGTTTGTATACGTATAGGTTCTACACAGAATTTAAAAAAAATCAATTACTTTGGTCTGTACAAAGTAACTTGTCTTGGCTGTGTTTTAGTCAACTAGTATTTTGTAAAATACAATCACGTTTAAGTTATTATACATTATATATGTATACAGATTATTGCTATTTTGAAATAAGTTTGTAAAGTTATTTTTCCTAAAACATAGAATAGTAAATAAAAAAGTAAAGCAAACAATTATATCTTCTAGTTA